AATTTGCCAATGACCTTCCCCATTAAATAAGCTCTCTTCAGGCCCCATCCGGTATCGCTTGCCTTCAACATCTTAACATTAAAATTATGCCGCCTGCTTCTCCCCCTGTTTGTAGCTGCTTTCTTGTTGTGCTTTCTTGTTGTGCCATCGTCGGCAACCTTTTGTGGTGGCCGGACGCGGTGACCATCTGCCGGCTTCGAAGTTTCAAGCTCTTTCGTTTGTTCGTGTCTGAAGCGGACACTGCTTTGGAGCACACCGCTCCTACTTTGTGTGCTTTTTTGTTTTTTTTTCTCTTTTCCTTTTCCCTTTCACCTCCGAAAACATTTTGAATCACTAACACGTAGCTTAAAATTAAGCAAGGACTGTGCTCTTCTACTTTATAGTTTTTGTTTTGTTTTCAGACGGCGATTATCAACAGAGACACGCACCACCACCAGGAGATGACATCCCTACTAACCGTCTTAAAACTAACACGCCAAGGATGACGAGGCACTTTTGAGAAAGATAGTTCCTTCTATGAAAACGCCGGCCAGCCTGTCTGAGGCACTTCTATTGTTAACCCTGTTCATGCCAGTGGCTGGCGTTTGAATTATTCAGGATCCTGTGCCCACATTCTAACGTCACAAACTTGGTGAGCCTGCCAGGATGTCCAACTAAAGCAAAAGGCAAAAGCCCCTACGCAAATTGGAGCAATCTTTCATCTCCAGAAGACCTTGTAACTTTTGGTAGAACCTTTTTTGTTTCGGCAGAACCCTTGTGTTTCTACAAATGAACATGTACTGTATTCAATCTATCATGTACTGTCGAACTGAACATGCATCATATCCCTATAGCGCGCCGTCATCTGACGTAGACTGTAATATACTTCGAAGACGCAGACATACCACTTAATTACATGGTACCCTATCCTCGTTTTCTATTACAAGAGATCAAATGCCACGTCTTTTCAGAAATAGGGGCTTTTTCCGATTCTGCTGAATGCTATCCCAGAAAACGCCGTAGTTCCAGCACAAAAACATGTGAGCAATTTCTGGTTATAATCCTCTTCTCTTCTGAAGGTACGTATGAGTCCGCTATCAGCTCAGATGGTTTCATAGGCAAAGTGACTAGGTGCAAATTGAAGAAAGACTTTACTGCAGGTTGTACTCGCATTCTTGTCAAATGATATATAAAATTCAGACCAGGTAGCGTGCTCTGTACAAAGGGACAGAAAGAATTCAATGTATTAGATCCTTGCACTACTTTTTACATGGCACATAAGCAAGTCAGGAACAAAAAAGCGATTTTACGAAGAGGAGAAGATGAAATGATTTGAAGTAATCTTTGCCATTCGTTTTCTTATGAACGGAGCCGCCACAGATGCCGGCAGTACATTACCCAGCTTAAGATGTATAACATTATGTTGTAACACATCTTAGCCTTAGTAATGTATTGCCGCAATACGTACGAATTCATCACCACTTTTTAGAATGAATGAGAATTGCTTAAAGAATCAACACAAAGAAACAACACAGACTGAGCCTTCCAATAAAACACACTTGAAAAATATATTCTACTTCCACGCTCCCAATTAGTACAAAAAAATATTGTTGCAGCCTTTCATGCACGTACAGATATACAAACGAGGCTTACAACTCTTACGCAAAATATTAGCAATTAATAATATACGCAGCCAATGTATCGAGGCCCATCAGTGACACCGTTTTTAGACCATGTTCTGAAAGAACTTATAATATTTCTAAAATTATGCAAAGTAAGGCATTAACACTGGTGTCCAGTAAGGCGGAGTAGTCGTAGTAATTTATAGCAATAAAAAAGCTGCGGTTTTAGTATTGTACAAAAACTGATTGCAGTAAGAAAAAATACACAGTAAGGTAGTAGCCAAAAGATGCCTACCTCGACTGGTTATGTAACGCGTGAGCGTCGCTTATTATAGCTAGTAAAGAAATCGGGAGCTCTTTGCTAAATTTATTATAATGGCAACCGTCGCTATTTTTTCGTACGTGGCTGTAATCTTTTCGCTGTTTCTAAATAGCATACATGTTAATAAAAATTCACAGGCCCTTGCTAAATATAAATAATTTGGGATATGCCACATAACATCATGGGAAAGTAGCGCTGAAAGAAGAGTACAGATTGATAACCAATTATTGATAATCTATAACGGAAGAAAATTGTTCTTGTAAGTAATAAAAACTCACCTCCAGAGCTTCTTGCGCTGTTATATTATGACATGACATGTGCTTCGCCCGGACTTCTTGTGGCCAACCTGCGCAAAAGAAGAATCGATGTGATTCACATATATTGCTAAATAGGGGTTTCGTTTCGATAGCATTACTCATGTCGGCCGAGTACAAGAGAAACTGCTATAGTTGCACGGTTTGGCACGATTAATTAGTTGGTCGCAGTGAACGGCGATAAAGAGTGAATAAGAAATAACGTGCGAATCTGTCCAGTAATGCGGTTCTTACATAACTTTCAACAGCTAACGTGTGGTGTCAAATGACAAAATTTAGTTAGTTTAGTACAATGCCGACGAGTTTTATTTTACCGATCTTCCTAAAGAAGCGTAATGGATGAAAAATCGCACAGAAAATTTTTGACAAGTTTTTAGTCAAACAATGAATCAGGCAATAAAAATGTTTTGCAATAAGTATCGGTGTAGAAAACAAGGTTCTTGAGGCTTTCAGAAACTAGCTGAGGCATAACCTTCACCGACCTCCACACCCCGAGTTTGGCCACAACCATCCTTTACGATTCGCGAAGCCGTTGCATCGCGAACTGCCGCAGGCTACTCCAAGAACAATTTTTTCTGAAGTCTAACTGAAGAACATGTTCATTATGTGGATAAAACAAACGCAGTGCCTCGTAAAGTTTGTTGTTAGGCTGGGTGGTGCATGCTTACTGAATGCAAAATGACTTGCTGGGCTGGTCAAGAACACAAGGATATTTTGTTTTAATGCCATCAGAACACAGACGTAAGTGCACAGTCACTGATGTGACACAATACTGATAATTAAAGTTAAACCAGAAGCGTTAATAACCCCCCACTTGTTCTTCTTAGAATTCCGTCAGCTTCTCGTAGATCTGAGCTAACGTACAGTTGATTTCAGCCAGTGGAGACAGTGAATGGCCTATTTTGGTGAGAAAATTAGATTCGCTGTAGCCATTTCTTTAATACATAACTAAGATGTGAAGCGAAGCCGTTGGAACGTAGTGTATCGATGTAATGTCCATGGCCTGTTACAGGCTACAAATAAGCCTGCATTCGGCTAGTTTTTACATTCTTTTCTAACTTCTATTGCCAAGATGTGCTCGCTTTCACGGAAGTAATTGAGGTAAAATTTGTTAAAACTGCCTACCTGTTTTTTTGTTTCTCGAGAGCCAGTTTGCCCACTAGCGCGTTGAGCCTTCTTGCAGGCCGCGCCGGCTGAGTACGTTAGCTTACGACTGTTCGCGAGGGCAGAGGACACACTTCGAGTTCAAGGTGTCGTTAAACAAGGGCGAATTCAGCAAAATGTTCGCAAATTAAGACTATATGACCTCGCTCTTCCTCTCTCTAATCATCGAGTATTGAGTGTAACACTGGACCTAAACTCATGCATGTCAACTACTACTACTTGGGGAAGGCGCACAGAAGTTTGTGAAATGCACATTAAGGCGAAGCCTCATATGCCTCATGAAGCACGAAAATCGACTGGCGTCTCCCGCCCACGGCGTCAAAACTACTGATGCTAAACGCCATAATCACGTCACGACGCCATCGTATGACGTCATGATGACTTCACAGACCACAAGAATTTCTGACGTAATTATGGTGACGTCACCATATGAAACCAAGAGGACGTCATAGATCGCCAGTTTGTGACATCACAAGGTGACCTCATCATACGAAAACTCTGCTTGGACAAAGGTCGGCCTATTACAGAGACAGTGGGAAATGAGTCGGCGTGCTTCCCGTCCTGGAGACAGTGCATGACCACGTTAAATGCCGGAAGTTTTCAGAGGATGGAGGGAACGCTACGAGCGTGCGACGAGAGTGGACGCGCGTCGCATCGGCTCCCGCTATTTTCAAGAGCACCGGTGGAACCCTGCTTCACACTTCATCAAGATTAACCCTATCTTCTTCGTAACATCGTTCAGCACCAGAAAACACCTCTCTCATCCAGGTATGCCAATTTCGGGGCATTTTGTGTCCCCATGTTGACCTTACCTCGTGGGAGCTACGCACGCCCGACCAAGCGTTGCACCGAACGCTGACAGCGTCGGAACTTCTCCGCGGCCGAAACCACAGATGGCGGCCACCGCTCTCCGTGGATATGATCCCCCGACGTTGGCGTGGAAATAAATTTCCACCCCAGTGCCCGAAAACTCCATTCCACCAACGAATATTGTGGATGAGGGACTGTTCACCACGGTGGCCCTCCGCAAGCGTCGCCAGCAATAACACAGATGGTGGCATCGCCATGTGGCATCCATCGTAACTGTCTTTTGGGGGATGTCCACGCAGCCAGCCCATGCCATCGTTCAGTCGGCCTCACTTTGGTGGTTCACTGGTGCTTTATATTTTGTCGCTGGCGATTTCTGTGACGGTTATTCTGAAGTCGCATATGTACTGCTAGTCGTAGTAGCAATGATTTACTCTTTATTGTTCGCTTGCTGAGCTAGAAGAATCACGAAATATGTTGGATGCCACTGTACAGACGCCATGCAGTGAAAGGCGAGGTTTCCTGCTTTGCACGAGCGCGGCCACTCGATCTTCCCCGGCCATGGCACGAGCAGCGTTCACAAAGCTATACGTGCATTCCTTCACACCGCAACAGACGATGTGACAAGCGTTCAAAACTTCTTTTCCTTCAGTATACGCCGCACGCACATGCGTTTCTCAACACGCAGTGTCGAATATAATACATGCTAGAGTCAATGACCTTCTCAGCAAAGCCTTGGCAACATGGTGGCTGCAGCCGAAAATGCTACGCAGTTCAAAGTGACAAACACACCAGCGGTGGCTGCCTGCGCACCGGCTTCACGATCTCCCAAACGACAGCCATGTTGGGCTTGCACTAGCGCCCACTCTAAACGGTGAAAGTTGCGAATAAGGCCACGTCCACGAACATTCCACCCGAGAAGAAGACGTCCCGTGTATTGTGGCGGCCTACCGCTGTGCCCCACAATGCTGCAGAAGACTTCACCATCGTGCTGAAGCCTCGTGTCACGGTGGATATCAAAACTACTTTTTAAGCAGGTGAACTAGGTGCCAAGCTCACCTCATACGCAAACGCTACCTTGAGTGACTCTATCAGTGTGTGGCCCACGTGGGAGCAAAGTATCATTGTTGTCTCAACCGAAGACATCAACTCTGCGAACCTTCTCTCACAAGAATTCTCATTCGAAATATCACAAGATCCTTTACCAATGATCGGCCACGCCAAGATCAGTGGGGAAGCGTGCCGTGGCGTCAGTACGGTGCATGAGCAGGAGACCTCCACCTCCTTGAAAGCAAAAATCCATTGGCGTGGTGGAAGCATTGCTTTCGTCAAAAAGCTTGGCAAGACTTCGGTGGCCCTTATAGCTTTCGAGGGCCGCCGCGTGCCACGTTTTGTGCACTACATTAGCGTTCCGACACCAGTACGCGAATACAAACGCGCCATTTCAGCCTGCTACCACTGCGGCATGGTAGGCCACCGGGTGGAGCTGTGTCCCCCCCCCCCCCAAACGACCAATGCTGCGGCCATTGTGGTCAAGTTGTGGGTGCTTCTGAGGAGGAGATGGCACCACACCAATGCAAGCCATCGTGCCTGGTGTGCGATGAGAGACACCTCACTAGATTCCAGGCCTGCAAAGCAAGGTTTCGCCGCCTGCAGCAGCCGGGTGGGCATCATGGCAGTCACGGCTCGTCGAAGCAGCGGTCAATGACCAAGACATCTGGTGTCGTGCCAGAAGGACGTCCCCCGGGAGCTTCACGTCTTTCACACGCCTTAAACCTCGCTGAAACCTCCGAGGATTCCGAGCTCCCACTTGCACAGGGCTCCGAAGTAGAGGTAGAGTCCCTCCCAGCCACCCGAAATTCTCAATATGGCGACTCATCTTAACTGCTCCACATCGCCACACCGAAAACCTCCGTTACTCTCTTTAATTCAATGGAACTGTAGCGGCTTCAAAGACAGGGCCAAACGAGCCCATTTCCACCTCTATCTTGAAACATTTGGGCACCTGTGCGCCATCATTGCCCTTCAAGAGCCCGGCAATGCCATCGGCCTCTTATATAACACTTTTCAATGGGACCCATTCACCTGCCTTCTTGTAGATAAAACCTTAACTACGCAAGAGGTTGACCTCGAAATTTCAATACCCTACTCGTACACTATGGCCATGGTTCTTCCCCTGCGCAGAACCAACACCCCAGTGCACATCCTCAACATTTATTGCAAACCTAGCTCAAAAAAATCACATTCGCTGACATCTTCAGCAGGGCATTGAAGCTCGCCGGGCAAGACCCCCTTTTGGTAGTGGGTGGCTCAACGCCCATAGCATGCTTTGGGGCTATCGCAAGGAAGAGGCGCGTGAAAGGAAACTTGCGGAGCTAACTTCCACGCTAGGCATGACTCTTCAAAGAGACTCCGCGCAACCAACTCGTGTAGGTAACTCTGTCAGCCGGGACACCTGCCCCGACCTAACATCGGTCACTTCCGAGGTAACCCTCGGTAGTGACCACTGCATTCTCATCACTACATTTTCTACACGACTCCTACAACGTCCCATCGCACAGGCTCACTCACCTACCAAACTTGGAAGCCTTCCGGCAGTCCTTACCTGGCTCTCCCATCCTGGAGATCGGTTATTCCCAGTGGGCTCACTTTGTGCTCGAAACACTAAGAAAACACAGGACCAAAATACAACTCACTGATAGTCATCCGTATTTAGATAACCATGTCCATCTTTAGGAGGCCCGTCACAGCCTCACAAAGAGATGGCGCTGACAAAAACACAACTGCAAACTCCGCATGCGGATATTGGATCTCACTCAGAAGCTGGCGGAGTACGCTGCCCAGCTCGCCGACTCAAATTGGGTAGATCACTGTAACACTGCCAGCAGGCAAATGTCCAGTCGCAATACATGGAAACTCTTCCGCAGTCTGATTGATCCCACTCAAACGTGAGGTGAAACGCAAAAACAACTCCACCGAGCCTTTCACAATTCCCACGGCTCCACACAACAATTAGCTTTATCACTACCGGACCAATATCTTTGCACTCAGGACATGCGAGTCTCCGCGTATCACTATGCAGACAGAAAGAACTCGGCATTGGATGCTCTTTTCTAGTTAGACAACCTTCGCGCCGCTCTAGCCAAAATGAGGTGAGGTACGGCTTCCGGGCGAGACAGAATTACCGTTAAAAGGCTGGCAAATCTATCCGATGCAGCGCACCAGTCACTTCTCGACTATAATATTGCGATCTGGTTTGGAAAAACGCCCCTTCCTCTACACTGGAAAACGTCTCTAGTAACCTTTATTCCAAATCAGGAAAAACCGATCAACACTGAGAATCTCAGACCCATTTCTCTTATTTATTGTGCGGGGAAGCTAATGAAAGCTATGGTCAAGGGTCATGTCTCCCTCTTCTTAGAAGAGCGCCACATTTTCGCCGATTCAATGTATGGCTTCAGGCCCAAGAAATCTTCGCAGGACATACTCCTACAACTACACCACGAAGTACTTAACACCGTAGAACACCCCCACAATGACAAGATCATTCTAGCGCTTGACCTTAAAGGAGCCTTCGATAACGTTGAGCACGAAGTCATCTTAGCTCACCTAAGTGCGAGCAGCTGCGGCGAGCGCACCTTCAAATACACCCGAAACTTTCTTACTGACAAAGCTCCGTGCGTTCGCATCCAAGATCAGAAAAACGGCTCCTATCCCCTGGGCGTGCGAGGCACACCACATGGCGCTGTGTTGTCGCCTCTGCTGTTCAACTTAGCTAGGGCACAGCTCCCACACCGTTTGGCTGCTGTCGACGGTGTAAAGCATGCGCTTTATGCCGATGACATCCCTCTGTGGGCTACAAAGGGATGCCTGGGCAGCATGGGGGACAGCCTGCAAACCGCAGCCTATATAGGGGACGAATATGCGGCGTACTGCAGCCTCCTGTGTTCCCCACAGAAGTCTGAATTCGTGTACCTTCGGCCGTCGGTGAAGTGCACTTCGTCCATTAACATTACCCTGCATAGTGGACCTATGATTGAGACACAGGAGATCCGTGTCCTTGGACTGCACATTCAACAACGCCTCAGGGTTGAAACAACACTTCACAAGCTGCTTAAGTTTGGAGAACAGGTGGGTCGCATGGTTCACTGAGTCTCCCACAAGCGGGGAGGTCTCAAAAGCAAGGATGCGCTTCGTCTGGCACATGCTTTTGTCACTAGTCGCATCTTGTATGTGGCTCCGTACCTGCACTTACGCAGGCACGATGAAGATTCCTTGGAGGTCACCCTTCGCAAAATTGTCAAGAGAGCCCTAGATCTCCCGATCACTACTTCCAATGCAAAACGTCTTGCGTTGGGAGTGGTAAACACCTATCGGGAGCTCCGGGAGGCTCACCTAACAAACCAATACACGCGTCTGGCGCAGACCCCGTAAGGTAGACGACTCCTAGATCGCCTGCACATTCGCCATGAAAATTCCACACATGACACGTGAGGAGCGGGTATGAGCGCCCGAACATTGGAAATACGCGATTCATGTTCGACCCCTCCCCACCAATATCGCACGTGAGTCGCACGCTGGCCGTCGAGAGGCACAGACTCTTGCTCTCCGGCGCCAATTCGGCTATAAACAAAACGTATTTTACACGGAAATCGCCGGCCCTTGCTGCGGGGGTGTGTATATGGCCGCCGTGGTTCAACAAGACTGGCAGGTGGATAGTCTGTCCTTCCGTGCAACCAATGCTACCCATGCTGAAGAGGTGGCCATAGCTGTGGCTATATCCCATGACAGTTCTCAAATTATGTTATCAGACTCCAATGAAGCTTGCAGAAATTTTCAACTGGGATGAATCACACCCCTAGCTGCCGAAATTCTTAAATCTTGTCCGCGAGTAGGTAACCTCTCTCTGCGTTCAATAATCTGGACTCCTGGCCATCAGGGCCTCGCAGGCAATGAGGTGGCGCACGCTGCCGCCCGCGAACGCATTCCCTAGGCCACTGCTTCGCCTACCGATGACCCCTGTGTTCCAAAAGAAAACGTTCCTCTCCTAACTGATACAGAGATAAGTACCCATTACCGGGACTCCCACCACCGTTTTCCTTCACCCTGCAAAGGACTTAGGAAGGTGGACGAGAGAATTCTTCTTCGGCTATTCACCAATACTTTACTCTGCCCGGCAGTGATTAAACACTTTGCCTCTTCCTTTTCCGGCCTCTGCCAGTACTGTGCGGAGGTGGCTGACACCTACCACATGGTATGGGCATACCAGCTCAATACTTTTTTACCCCCGAACCCAAATTAAACAAGAGAGGACTTGGAGGCGGCCCTGCTCAGTTGCCAGGACCTTGCGGCCCAATGAGCCATGGTCCAGCGTGCCAGAACAGCGGCCACGACCAACGGGTTTTCTGACTAGGGACTCCACCTAGTACTGCAGGGAGGATGACCCACTTGAGGCTGGTCTCCCTAGCAACCTCTGTTTCTTTAAGACGATAGTCTTTTAAAGACTACAGTCTTTCTTGGAGACCTTCGACGCAAAAAGTTGGTCTGTCTGTCTGTCTGTCTGTCTGTCTGTCTGTCTGTCTGTCTGTCTGTCTGTCTGTCTGTCTGTCTGTCTGTCTGTCTGTCTGTCTGTCTGTCCACTCTTAACGGCACCGAGTACTTGAAACGGCCGACCCCATCCGCAGAGCCCACCAATGTGGTTCAAGGTTTTACGTTCATACTTGCGCAATTGTCAATTAATAAGCAATTGTTGCGCATGTGTGGGGCTCTGTAACAGCACGTATATATTCTCCATATGCATCTTTTACTTGAAAAACATACATAAGCAATTTTAAGGACAGTAGCGCTTACCATGCTGCGCTGACCATACAACGCTTGCTCGAAAAGGCGAGTGTTTCCAACGCATTGCTAAAACGAGACGGTGGTGGCATCTACCCGTCGCCTTGCGTTCTGCACCTTATCACCTCTGAGACGGGCGCGCATACTCTTCTCAGAGGCACGCGCTTCGTTTTTCAAGAAAACTCCCAGACGGTGGAAATGTCTCACGTGTGACGTGACTTGATGCACTCGTTCGCCTCCTTGCACGTTCGGGGCACTCTAACGCAGTGCCTTCAGAATACCATTCACAGATTTTCTTGCGCAGAACATCAGATAAATTGTTCACTCTCTCCACACGCAAGACTGTCGTCTTTCGACGACATTTGCAGATTACATGCAGATACAGGGCCAGTTTTTTTCTAAAAAGTTTACTACTACTACTACTACTACTACTACTACTACTGCTGCTGCTGCTGCTGCTGCTGCTGCTGCTGCTGCTGCTACTACTACTTCCGAGGATGACAGGAAAGGATCAATACATCAACTGGGAAGGGTAAGATTATGGCTTTCACCTTCCCGTCGTCTTAACCAAATGCTCAAGGGACCCTGCGAGTCATTCTATGTTCGTTTACATTGCACTGATGTTAATTACATTGGGAAATAAGCACAAATGTAGTCGTCGAAGCAAGCGCCCCCATAGCAGCTGATAGGGCCTCACACTTCTAATGCCTCTTTTGTCCGCTTCAGTTCGCTTTCTGTTGAAATCACAGCGGCTATACTTCGATTAGGGACTACCACTATTACCTCTAAGCTTTTGAAAATTACAATATCTGTTAGCATAACACACTGCAGGGTATTTGAAGAAATGTGTCCGGAAATCATAAAACTTAGGAAAAATGAAATATTGTGGCACTGTGTTCATAATTCCTTTTTTTTCCGAAGCGGCAGACATCTAAAGATAACTAGTCGAATAAGTTACGCCATTAAAGAAATCAAGTTCATTGACCTTTCATTTAGCGGCAACAAGAGGCCAGGTCATGTGGAAAAATGGCAGCTGTTTATTTCAAGAGTCTGTTGGAGCTTGGAGATTCCCAAAAAGCAGCCCTTGCAAATTATTAGTGAATGATGAAATCTGACCAATTTTGTAGACGATATCATAACTTAAGATAACGCAGCTGCCATATTCTTCCGAGACTTCTGGAAAGAGAAAAAAGCGTTGTATCAACCATCTATCGACTTACCTTCGTAGTTTCGCGAGTATCGTTTGTGATTAAAGCACGTATGTCAACGTTCATAAATGCAGAACTAACACCACTACCATTGCTGCCGCGAACAGTGCCATCATTCTTGTTGACTTCTCTGCGCTGAGTGGCACTTCAGTTTTGGCTTCGCCAATGAAAATGTTCAAATTTCACTGCCTTATAATGATTACCAAAGGCTGAGTTTTTTCATAACCCCGAAGTGGTAATATCCTCTTTGCCGTGGAAGCATAAAACGTTCCCATTGTAGCCGACCGCCTTTCTCTGTCAATGAAAAAGCAAAGTATTTATTTTATTTGTTAACTCATACTTTATAAGAAAAAAGGCAATTACAAATGTTTCATTTCTCTTGTTCCTGTACAGCATGTATAATTGGCTGCACCAATAATAGGCGCCTCAGTTATTCTCACTTTTACTGGATATTACTTGTGTTCTCCGATATTATTGCTCGAAACTTCGAGAGGGTGTCGTTAAATGTACATTAATTTCTTTTCCCGCTGTGCTTGTCTAGTGGCTAAGGTACTAGGCGGCTGCCCCGAAGGACGTGGTCTTGAATCCCGGCTTCGGCGGCTGCATTTTCGATGGAGGCGAAAATGCTGTATGTCCATGTGCTCAGATTTGGGCGCACGGTAAAAAAACCCAGAGGGTCAAAATTTCCGGAGCCCTTCACTACGGCGTCTCTCATAATAATATGGTGGTTTTGGGACGTTAAACCCCAATATTTATTAATTTTTTGCCACGTGTTTATTTGTGTGCTCGCGAATGATGAAGTTTTTTATATACTAATAGATAAAGAGCGAAGGCCGGACATGCATTGCTTTGCTACCGATACCACCCGTCCCAGTGTAGCATCTTCTATACCCCAATTACTGTAATCACGTATCATGATGCGCTGTCAGAAACACGTCAAGTTCGGGTGGCATGATTCCAAGGCACTCAGTATTACATTCTAAGCAAGACAAAGAAGGAAAGTGTTGTTCAGCGAGTGTTCTTGTAACTAAAGTTAATGAGTGTGTAACTAAATATTTTATTAATCTGCCACCAGTCAGCTTCAGTATTTTATGAAAAAGAATCCGCCATTAGGCCCGAAATGCATGCAAAGTTTGTTTTTTGGTGGTATCTATTTAGAGCGAAGAAAAAAAATACTTTTCACGTTTGTCTTCGAATGCTTCACGTCGTACAATCGTAGAACATGGTAGTGCACCCAGCAAAGTGATCCTCTGCAGCAATACGCAGCATAATGAAGGTAAATATTTGCGAGTTTTCACTCAGTAGGACTGGACAAATGTGCACACTAAGTTTCAAGCCATTTGATGAAACACATGATGCGGGAAATGCCAAAAAATCGGCGTCTCCATTTGTACACACCATGACTGAAATTGGCACATAGACAGACAGATGTATAGATAGATAGATAAAGAGAACTACAGAGAGATTATGAGAGAAAGGCAGATCAGAAGGCTGAAATGATATAGTCTAACCTCCATGTCAGTTCATGTGAAAAGCATGTAACGTAGCATTAGTTACCTTAATTTTTAACAAGGCGTAGTACGAAGGCTGTGAAAGCTCTATATGGTAGTGGCGTAGCCAGGGAGTGGCACGCCGGGTAAGCACTACCCCTCCCACCCCGAACAATTTTCACCAGTCCAAAAGGTCCACGATGCAGAAGAGGATCTTCGTTTTGTTCCCACGTCGGAGTAGTCCAAAACGTGCTTGAACGCGCTCCGAAGGGCCCTAATAAGGTTTATTTATCCAACCACCAAAAAAAGTGCACAAAATGACGCTCGATTACATCTGCATGACCGGCCCTCATTTCAAATAGTAAAGAGCCCCCTCCCTCCTCTCCCTCTACTCCTGAAAAAGTTTCTTTTCGAGGCCCGGTTACATGAAATTAAAAACCTTGAAGAAACCTCAATACGCGAATCAGTTTTAAGATAACATATAAACAGCCTCGTACTATGACATTTTAGAAGCTGTTACTCCTTCCACATAATGCCGAATGTAACACATTTGCTTGTAAAACATTAGAATATTCGCTGATAAGAACGCAACTCTTGTAAAATATCGCGCTAGCTT